TTGATCATTCATATTTTATGAGTCAATATAACTCCAATTATAAATTATAATACTATTATTTCTAATGTAGATTATAAAAATATAGAAATGTTAAATGAGCCTAATTTAATAATTAAGAAATTGGATAGATGTCAAAAGGTATTTCATTTATAATATAATACATATGGTAAATTGTAAAATTATAAAATACTCTAAATAATAAAATCTATGATGTTTATACTTGATGAGAATAATTTGATAAGTGAAATATAACAAAAAAATTAATTATGAAATTTGGTTGAGAATAATAAAAGTGATTGTTTCTAAGTTAATTTTCGTGTTATTTAATAACTTTTGCCAATTTCATTTAAAATTTAGACAACAAACGTTCTACGAATATTTCAAAAAGAAATTTTCACAAATCAATAGAATTATAAAATTGAAATGACAATTTGAATTTTTGTGATATAAGTACTAAAGTTGCAATCCTGGATTTCATTATTAAAAACACTATACTAATTGTAAAGTATTTTCGGTGTTTTTCATTTATCATTATAATTTCAAATTATTATAATTTGAATAATCATAAAAATAAAAATACTAAAATTGAACAATTTCCATCATAAGTATTAAATGAAAACTTTAAATTAATAAATAACAAAAATTAATTTGATTATATAATTTACTTGTATATAAAATTTAAATCACGGCCACCTATTACCTTAATAATCATAATACTAAGAAGAAATCTAATTTATGTTAACAGAATTTCGATAATTGGATACAGAAGTTGTTTATTAAAAATTTTACTAATTTTAGTTGAAATCTGATTTTAGTTTTTCTAATTAATGGTTACTTTCTCTTATTTTAGTACTAGTTTCTTCAATTTACTTCCATAGATCCTCAATTTGAAATTATAATTATTTTTCGTATCCTTGTGATTTCTTTCCTTATTTATTTGTCTATTTTTATTGATCTATCATGTCCTAATTTTTCAAGCATTAATCTAATCTATCACTTAAAGTTTTTCTTTATATTTCAAGGGTCTAAATTTCTGATTTTAGGAATTGCTCATCCTTCTTATTCACTATTCCATAATTTTAATTGGTAATTTATAAACCTTGTTGTTAAGATATTTTCACTTAACTTGAAGTTTATGATTTCAGTTAGGCTTCCTTCTAAATTTTTTCTATAACTCTCTATTTTTACGATATTTCTTTCTCTATTTCTCTTATTTAATTTAAATTTCTTATTTTTGATCTCTCAAGTTCTGCAATCTTTTGTTAATACAACAAAAGTTATTAATCATCTTAATGAACACTATCTTGTAGTTATTCTAACTTACTTTTAAAGAAAGCTAATTCAAAAGCGTGATTTTCAATCTCAGATTTTTTCTCATCCCTTACTTCAAAAATAGTGTCCTTCATATCAATACCTATTTCTAAGTCACCTTATTATTCTTCCAAAATCTTTTTAAAATATTCATCGATTGAGTTTTAATCCTAAAGTTCAGCGTTTGAAAGTGAATAAAATTTTCTAATTTTAGCAATGTTCATAAAATAATTTTTTAGTGTTGAATTTTGTTCAAATTGTTCATCAAAGCGATTATGCAACAACACAATTATTTGTTTTCTAAACTTTTTAAATTAAGAATATATATCCATAAAATTTTATTTTACAATGTCATTTCTTTCTTAATCGACAATTATAAACAAAAGAGATATCTAGGCCTAATATCTTTTGAATATCTATTTAAATTAGTTAATCGATTCATTTTTTTATTCAATTTCAGAATTCATATTAAATTCAGGGGTATTAATTAAAACCCAATTATTTTATAATAAAGCAGGTGATTTAATAGTCTAAAATACTTTATTTTTTATATCCTATTCCTTACTAATAAACATTGCAATTTTCTTTCCATTTAAATCGATCTATTTATCATGATCATAATGTTTTTTAAAATAATCTTCAAGATCCCATATTTAAACATTTAAATTATAATTTAATTAACACTTGAATTTTATCGCCTCTTCCCTTAATTAATCATTGCTAGTAATAAAAATTAAAGGATAAAAAAATTTTTTCACCTTTTTAAATTGATTTATTACACTTTCTAAAAGTTAGTTATTTGATTTCTAAATTTCATATATTATATTCGTTATACTACTTCTCTGACCATTCTAAATTCTATCTATTGAGTTTATTAAATTTTAATCATTTCTAATAAAATGTATTTCACAATTTTTAATGTTGTCTAAAATGTATGACAGCTTCTTGGACTGTTCAAGCTTTTCCCCAATCATAATTATTTTCATGTTTACAATATAAATATTAATATTTTTATTTCAATAAACAATAAAATATAAAACTGAAATAATTCTATTAAAAATAATTTTATATATTATTAAGTCATGCTGCTTTTTGCATATTTAATTTCTATAACTTTATTTTCTAATCAAGCTCGTTTTTATATTGGGATTGTTATTTCTTAGTTTTCTCTAATGTTAATTTTTCAAATTCAACCATTTTCTCACACATTTTAATATCCAAAATACCTAAAATTTGATTCATTTCATATTCTGTTAAAGGAGACATTTTTGACCAATCAATTACTTTCTTACATCCAGCTCCACCTACTCTGAATGTCTCATTATCCAATTTCATTTCTTCAATCTTAATTTTTGTAACATCTGTCATTAAACTTTGCTTGTTTTTTTCATTCAAAACTACTACTTTTGGTTTTACAGATTCATCAACTTTAATTTCCAATTTCTCTCTATCATATGTAACAATAAATTTCTGAGGAGCCTACTCCTATTTGATAAAATCATCTAAATGATTTTCATTCAGGCGTCCGCATACTGTGTTGCCCTCACAACCAGCTGCTTTAAACCAAATTTCGCCACAATAGTAGCATTTTCTTATGTACTTTGAGAAATGGTTTCCAGCATTCATTTTTTTGTGAGCAGCCTCAACAATATATTCATACTCTTTAAATAAAATACTCTTAAGTTAAAAATGAATTTGAAAAGCCTTTAGTTAGTCTTTCTACTTTAATTTATCTATTATATCTATTGATTGAGTCTCGAATTTCTTCATAGTATCATCTACTGTTTTTTTTGCAAACTAAGTTATAGCATAGAAATAATCTGCTTATAATCCGTTTGGAATATTGTTTACTTCAATTTTAAACATTGCTTATTCAAAAAAAATATGGTAATATGATGTTGATTCACCTTTTAACAGCTCTATTTCAAAAATCTCCCCTTCATCATAATCTGTCATATCAAAATTCGAAAAGATATCATTTTCTGTTAAATTAATATTTTCAGCCTTCGATGTAGCAATAATTTGATCAATTTATTCACAAATACTATCAGGTGTGTCGTTCAAACCAACAAACATCGCTGAATTTATTTTAAATGATGCAAGCCTTGATTAAATATCATTTTTATTTTTCTCTTCTTCACTTTTTTCACAAAAATCCCAACAAGTAACAATTACTGTGATCATGTGTCTATACTTAATAAATGCAGGTAAAATTTTTTTAACATCTTCCATAATTACGTTAGTTCTAGTAAATCTAACAATAAAAACAATTCTGTTAATGGGACCTTCAGATAAAGCAGAAAGAACACCAGCAATATGATCCAGCTTTTTTGATTCTGAACCAAAACCTGGAGTATCTAAAATCGAAAACCCTTAACCATAACATGATTTTTTCATAAATACACTCATAGTTACTGAATTTCCACCTGCTTTGATTTTTTCTTATGATAGAGTAATTTTATTATAAAGTGTGGTCTTACCAGATCCAATCTATCCGAGTAATACTATTGACATAATAATTGGAAAATGTAGGTTATTCTAAGCTTATAAAGATGAGGTTATTCTATTAGCCTAATAGAATTCGAAAATGAGCTTAATTAAATAATTAAATATTTGTTAAATTGTAAAATTATGCTAATTTTATATAATAATTAGACATTTATAAGAAATGGATAATTACTAATATTATCAATTAACTTGAGTTTTGAAAGAATAAATCAGCTTTTAAATTCACGATAGACAATTCATTTAATAAAGGCTTTAATTTATAAACTAAAAACCAAAGCTTGAGAATAACCTTTTTTCATCTCGATTGAGATATCGATAATATTTAGGAATTCCATTTTTTTAAACTTGGAATGGAATATTATGGATTAATTAATAAGTAATTTTAATATAACAGATTCAATAAGACATTTAATTAATGAAGAAAATTATGTTTGCAAAATTAAATTTAAATGAATATTTTTTTTACTTATTTGAGCCATTTAATCTCGCGCATATATTGTATTTAAAATAATGTAGAATATTTAAACTAATAATAAATTTTATTTTAAGGCATTCATATCTTCTGATTTATACTTTAAAATTATAATAAATATGAAATATGTAATATAGTGTGAAAATGAGGAATATCAAAATATCACATTTATATCTATAATTACTTAATCTATCATATGTTATTATCATATGTTATTGATAATCAAACTTAAATGGCTAATCTAGGTATATATTGTAAATTTAGATACTTTAATTATTTTATAAATTAGGTAATTAAATTCACTTAATTTTGTGAATTTAAAGAAAATAAATGAATTTCAAATTATTATTAAAATAAATGAAATATCTTTTTTAAAATATATGCTACTTAATATTATAGACTGTGTTGACCTAGACGCTGATAGATACGTTCAACTAGGTAGATATTAAAGGAATTGAGTTTGATTGGAGCGCAAGAACACTTCCTATAGGAGATTAATAACTTTTAGTTGCCTAGAACATTAGAGGCTATGATTAGTTATTCTAAGTACAATTAATGATAATAGACATTGGGAAAAACGAAATTGTCAGACAAATAACGATAGGAGGAGTTGAAGAGAGCAAATATTGTCCAGATATACTCATTATGAATAATTAAATATTTATAGCATTTGTAAGTGAGAAAGGTAGTGCTTTAAATGTTGTGATGAAAAAATTTAGTTTATCCCTAGAGGAAACAAATGTAGAATTAAATTTAGGCGCTACTATCTAAGAAGTTAAAATTATATAAAAAATTCAATTCATTTAAATTAATCAGTTAAATAAAAATTTATTAACTGTTTTATGGTATTCATAAGGAAAAGAATATCCGAGTAAATAATGGAATATGATATTGTATAATCCAACTACAGGAGTTAAAGGTGAAATATTAATTTTGCCTGATAGTGAATTTGTGTCAGTTGCATAAAATAAATTAGGAATTATTGCAATAGCCTAATCCAACAATAACTACATAATATTATCTAAATTATTTGAAGGAAAATTAACCACAAGGTCAATCCCCACATCTATGTATGGTAGTTATCAACAGAAAATCAAAATTTAAAGTTTATCCTCAAATGAATTTATTGTTCTTACCTGGAAAAATTCTTATGATTTTACAATAAGAAGATTTGATAAAGATTTTGAAGCTAATTAGAGTCCATAACGAATTTAAACTAAAGAATTTTGTACTACTGATAGAATCTAACAGATTGATGTAAGTTTTACTGATTATTAATTAATTTTGGTAAGTAAATGCTCTGAAGAGATAAAAATATAATAAGTTGACTTGTTGAATGTTCAAAATAATAAATACATTACAAAATAATATAGATAAATTGATGTGGATGATACAAAATAGAATATTCAGTCTATTTATATTGATTAAATTAATCATAATAAATTATTGCTTAGATGGTTTACTCCACAATTTTACTATTATGCATTAAGTGTTCAACTAATAGATATGGGCTTAAAAGTTAATGAATGTATATAGAATTGTAATAAATGTGATAACCTCATTCATTGCCAAGAATGTAAATAAAATTACTTATTGGATACAATTAAAAATCGTTGTAATCCTATCTGTCCTGATAATTGTTTATACTGTTCCGATGCTTCTTACTGCGACAGATGTAAGTTGGGATACTAGTATACAAAAGAAAATTTATGTGTGAGTCCAACCAATGATTTTATGGAACTGAAAGTTAGTAGAGAAACAGAGAGTAAGGGCAAAGGAAAAATAATTAATAAGGATTTCTTTATTATTGTTATATATAGTGTTTATTAAAGCGATAAACAATAATATTTGGTCATTAGAAAACTGGACAATCAAGGATAACTATTAAAGAAAGTGGAACTCTAATAAGATCAATAAACATTACTTGATTATGATATTGCTGATTCTTTTGATGATGATGTCTTTTTCATATTAATTAAGTGGGCTACAGTTGATGGTACGACTAAAACAATCAATTACTATTACTATTTAGAAGATTTAACAATTAAAGGATAATCTTTGATAACAGAAGGATAGCCAATAATTTAAGGAGATCAAATAAAAATTATCAATTATAAAAATCAGAATATTCTATTTTTTTATTTTGTAAAGGATAAAGATTATTACTAGCTCTTATATAGGAAAATGGATTAAAATGAAGTTTATTCTAATTACAGTTCTAGCATCTTTTATTATTAAGGTAATTTTGAAATGACATCATATAAAAATTCAATTAATTATCATTTCATAACAATAAGAAATCTTGATTATTATTTCTCTTGTAATATTTTAGATAATTAATTATAGTGCAATTCTGAGACTAATAAAGATACTAGTGAATTTTTCTCATAAAAAATCATTTAAATTGATCAAATTTCATTATATTTAGAACACGATTTTTATTTGAACAGATAATTATACATAAATAATACTGATAACTACAAAGTTTAACTCACATAATCATCAAGATATCCATAAAATCATACATTCATTTAGATTGGATAAAATGATATTATAGTTTTATGGTCTGGAATTATAAATATCCAACAAAGCAATCCAATATATCATATCTATATTTAAGGTTTTTCGAAAAAATCTAATACGATTACTAATTTAAAGTCGTTTACTTGTTCTCCTGCTTGCTTTAAATGTTCAGAAACTGGAGTATGTTTACAATGCAAAAATAGTAATTATAAATTGTAAAATGGAAAATGTAAATTATTATGCATAAATAATTGTGAATAATGTTCAATAGAAGATCAATGTTTAAAATGTAAACTAAACTATTTCTTGGATTCTAAATCATAATGTGTTTAAACTGAAAAAAATTACATTATATAAAAAGCAGGTTATTTGTATCCAACAATAAGTTAAAATTAAGATGGCACAGTGTCAATTGCATCATTTAAAAATAATGGAACTAAATTTGATGTTGTATATGAAGAATTTAATAGATAAGGATAATCAATATCAGGAGAAATCAGAATTTCAAATGATAGTAATTTAACAATTATATTACAATAACCTTAATTGATTAAACAAGATTAATTAATCCTAATTTAGTATTTAGTAAGAGATGAAATTAATAGTTAATCAATAAAAGCCATTTTTGTTACTTTAGATTAACAATACCATATTATTTAAAATAATATTTCAATACTATTAAATTAAGATATCTTAATTGACAACCTATTGATTGATAAGAACTTGTATGTCGTTTTTTCTGATAGTACTACTTCTACAACTTATTTATATGTTAATTTTTATGAAATAAAATAGGGTTGCATGACAAGCTAAACTTAACATTATTATGGAAATGTGTTTACTTTCACAAAGAGATACTAAAATTTCAGATTGGAAAATCTAGGTAATCAGAATAAATTCACTATATAATTTACTGAGTTAGATGCAGCTGATTAAATTGTATACTTGTATGATTATGTCGAATTAAAATTAACGAAGTCTATAATTACAAGTTATTTTGTTAACTACTTTACTTATCTATAATTGTTTTCAGTTTAATATAAAGCTATTAGCAATAAGAAATTAAATTTACAATTCCTAAATTAGAGAGGAAAACTATTAAACAATGTGATTCTAGAATCAATAAATGATTTATCTAAAATTCAAGTTGTGACATCGTTATCCTATATTTATCTATTGTATGCTGAATCATCTCAATAATCAATAATAAATATAAATGTTAAATAATACGATCTGAATGGAACATAAATAGCTGAAACTCAAATAAGTTCAAATGAACAATCTATTGATTTTTTAAGTGGAAATAATTAATAAAATGAATTCCTCTATATAACTTGGAGTACTCAAAAATATAGCAAATCATACAAATTAAGATTGAATTAAAAATTATAAGCTATCCCATTTGATGAAGAAATTTGTGTTTCTCATTGTGGAGATTGTTCCAACAATAATAATGAAATTATGTGTACTTAATGCTTAGATGGTTATTTATATAATGAACAAAAATTAAAATGCTCCCCAATTTGCTTAGATAACTGTTAAAAATGCACATAACCATATACATGCGATTACTGTAACAATGATTTTAAGTTCGTTGACAATAAATGCTTAAATGTCACTCAGTATCAATTGGAAATTCCATTTTGCCAATAAACTTGCAATGGAATTGGATCAATATTAAGTTTTAGTGATAATTCCATGATAACAACCTTTTATAATTATAAGAATTCATAACATAGTTTAGATTCGAATATATATTAATAAGAATCTAGTGTTATTACCACTAAATAATTGATTTCTTCAGAAACACCAATTGCTTATCATAGAATTTATGAATACGAATCTAAAAAGTTTGCACTTATCTGGTTAAGTGGTAATTGTAAAGTTTCATGTAGAATGATGCTACAATTATTCCAAAGCAGCTTTGTTGTTATAACAAATCCTATTGAAATGAGATTAATTAAAGTTCTAAATATTGATGAGTTTGAAATTCAGATCAAAATATTTAATACTAACTTTGTGATAGTTTGGACTGAAATTGATGAGAACTCTCTTTCCTAAACATACGTTGGAATTTATAATACTGGAAGTGGGTTTCAGATAAAATAAAATATTAATGAAAATTAAGATGATATCTCCATCAATCCATAATTATTGATCTAGACCTCATCCTATCAAATAATCTATATCAAAAATAATAATATAATAAACTCATTAACTATCGATAGTACAACTACAAAATACAAACAACTCTATTAGAGCACAAACCAGATTGAATCCATTTCTTCAGATAACATTGACAGTAGTGGTTTAGCTATTGGTTGGATAGAAAGTTAAATTAACTTATTAGGAATACGGAGTTATTATGCCTATATATAATATTTTGATAGATAGTTAAATCAATAAGCAACTAAGAGAATAGCTATAAACTCATACATCACAATTAAGAGTTTGTATCTTAATTACATCCCTACTTAATATATATAATTAACATACATATAAATCGAAAAGGGAGAGCAATAAAGAATACGAGTATCTTTTGCTTCCTTGTCCTTCCTAAAATATGGATCATCTTAAGAAATGTTGACATCTCCATTAAATATTTTAAGTTAGTATTAATCAAATACAAAATTATTAACCTATGTAGATCCAAGAAATTATTAATCATATGTTGTATTCTAAGGAGTAATGAATAATGTTAATTATATATTCTTTATTCAAAGTAAAGGAACATACTTATATCAAGATAATTGCGAAACAAATTGCTTCTATTGTAATAATAAGAATCTATGTGTAATTTGCAAATAAGGATTTACATTACAAAATAATAAATGTGCATTGAAATTACCAGATTATTGTACAAATGGTAATTATGGTCGATGCTCTTAATGTGCTGTTGGATACTCTGTCACATCAGATTATAAATGTTAGATTAGTGATTCAAAATATAAAGAAATTAAAATGAGCGTCTATCCAGCTTAAAGTAGATAGAGAATTTCTACATTATCTAATGGAGATTATGTTATTGTATGGTCAACACAATTTTATCAGAATGAAGGAACTGGAATTTACATGTCATTATATAATTCTCAGGGTGTGTTATTAAAAGAACAAATGAGAATATCTGAATCATCAGCAGGAATTCAATAATATCCTGATGTTTAAGTGATGAGCAATGATTAGATAGTTGTTGTTTGGATAGATGGCAATATATTAGTAAATGCTAATATCAAGATGTTAAGATTTGATAAAGATTTCTTAAGAATTGGTAGTGAAACTATCGTATAAACAGATATACATCTTTATTATGCTTAATCATATGATACTCCAGTAATCATTTAATCAATTATTAATGGGTTTGTTATAGTTTGGGCAGAATAAGGAAATCAGAAATAAATATCATTGATAGCTAAATTCTTTGACAATGATAATAATGTACTTAATACTTAAATTGTCACTGAAAATGAATAAATAATAAATGAACCTGTTGTTGCATCAACTTAATCTATTATTGTGATATCTTGGTAAACAAATAAAGGTGTTTTTGCTAGTTCATATAGTGTAAATCAAGTGTTGATAGATAAAGTATAATTATCAACAACAGGAGAATCTCCTGCAATAGTTTCTATAGATAACTCCATAATTATAGCTTGGAAAGAATATGTCATTGATGAGAATGATTTTATGAGTTAGAAAATAAGATTCAGATAAGTCTCAGCAGATTTAAATCAATATCAAGTTTAGAGTCATTTTGGAGTTTCATAAGAAAATCTAGATAATCCTGATGTAATATCAATTGAAAATGGATTTGCTATTATTGCTGAAAGTGTTTCTGTATTAGATGATAAAGTCAGAACTATATAAATGTAATTGTTTAATTTAGATGGTTCAACAAAATCTCAACCAGTTATTATTTATTCTGTTTCTAACTTATACCCACATCATCCCTAATTAGCAAGTTAACCATAAGGTAATTTCATAGCTTCATGGACAGTCAGTAGTTTAATCTCGTAAATTTTAAGTGATGATGTCTATATGAAAAGATATAAGAACGATGGCACTTAATTAGCATTAAATACAATCATTTGCTAAAACAATTGCTAGACTTGTTCATCTAGTAATATTTGCTAAAGTTGTAAATAAAATTATATTCTATTATCTAATTCGTGTTATCTAAAAATTAATAATTGTGAAGCACATTCAATTGAAAATTTAACTATAACTTGTAGTTAATGTTCAAATGGTTTTGAATTGATTAAAAATAATTGCTATTAAATTAATACAGTTTCTAATGAATAGACCAATAGAATTTATAAATGATAAAAGTCTTCATAATGCTTTCAAAGTGATAACATTTTCAAATGGTGATCTATTATATATATGGCTTGGAGGTAATTAATAAATAATGACTCAAAGATTTGATAAATTTGGCAAAAGATACTCCACACCTAAAATACTCTAAAACCTTACATATTGTAGTACAGAAGGCAAGCATTCTTTAGATGCTCTTTCATTGAAAATGAATGAAGATCTATTTGTAGTTTCCGTTAAGTGCAACCTTCAGACAACATTACTCACAATTTATGATTTTAATGAGAATAGCATATCAAGTGTCTCGGTTTACACATATGGAGGAACAAATATTTTCCTAATAAATTAAAAGTACTAAAACAACTTAGTTAAATTAGTGTAATTGGAAAAAATGAAATTAGGAGTGATAAGTATAGTTTAATAAGGGGATGTTCCAATTTTATAATTAGTTATAGTTCCATTGTATGTGGATGGTTCTTTCAAGCTTAATTTCTAACGTGAATAAAATGTTCAATTACTAACCTATTCCTAATTTAAGGCTGCATAATATATTGACATCTAATTAATCGATAATGAAATTAAAGCCATTAACAAAAACGATCCTATTAATAGTTATCTATTGAGTAGTTTTGACATCTTTGGAGTTATGCTAAATTAAAATATTATCAGGAAATCAAAAAATCAAATTGAATTTAAAATTATTTCATTAAATTCAAACAGTTATTTAACTGTTTGGACAACCATATCGTCATTTAATTATGAAGTATTTTGTTAAATTTCACAAAAAGATGGAATTACATTAACTAGTCCTTAGAAACTCTCAACAGGAGGTGAAATCTATAAACTAGATTTATAAATTAACATACTTGCCAATACAATATTGATAACTTGGAGAGAAGGGTCATAGTTTTCAGATATCAGTTTGAATTCAGTTTATAAAGGAGCCCTTATATCCAAATAATCCTATCAATTGATTGGTGAAATTTTCTAAATTAACTCAGCGAATTCTTAACTTAAATCATTAGGTAGACTTGAGGTAATTGAATTACAGAATCAGGATATGATAATTAGTATAATGTTTTACAACATCTTGGTGGACACCTAAATTATAATCTCATATAAATTTAATGAAATGGGTGAAAGGTTAGAATTCTCTTAAATGAGATGTGGTTATGCTTGTCAAGAATGTAATTAATAAGGATTGTGTTTCAAATGTACAAATAGTGATTTATATCTCTTGTAAATGGATGGAAGTTGTGTAAAGAAACCTGAATATTGTGTTAATTTTAAAACATATTGTCAGGACTGTCTTGATGGATATTACAAAACCTAATATCTTACTTGTGAAAAAATTAATCAACAAGTTGAAAAAACCATCCTTTTTGATTATGAAAAATACTACTATTTTTATTAGATTGCTTCATACTCAAATGGTAATTTCGTGGTTGTAGGTTCTAAAAGTTATACAATTATTGAACTAAATTATTATCTAAGTGATGGAACTTAAAAAGTACAAAATCTCTAAATCATAACTATTTCAAATAGTAATAGGATGATTAATGACATATCCCTAACCATTGATGATAATAACTTACTTACAATATTTTATTCTGTATTCTCCTATACATATTCAGATAAGAATATGTATTACTATTAATAGTTTGATTAAACATTTAATAAACTGGCAGAAGCTAAATTATTTTATTTAGGGTTACAAAATTAAGAAACAACATCTATTAAAGCCAAGATTCTGAATAGTGGATAATATGCAATAATAATTAAGAGTAGATTTGATATCTATCTTTAAATAATGAAATTAAACTTTGAATTTGTTGCTGACATCAAATTACCTTTTAGTGATAATTTCGATTTCACATCTAATGGAGAGTTAATTGCTTTTGCTTACATTAAAGATACAATTTGCATTCTTAACATCTTTGATTTACAATTAAAATTAATTTAACATCAAATTATTAATGATGGAGGATTAGTTAAATTGGCATCAAATGAACTTAAACAATTCATTATAGTTACTAATAATTAAATAAATATATTTGCTTAAGGTTTAATCAAGCAATCCTATAATATAACTGGTACAAGTTTATATCCAATTAACATAGCTATAAGCGATATCAATGAAATTGTCATCCATTCATACTAAAAGAATTCAAAATCGTATCATTTATATTATTTTTCAATGCAAGGATTACTTAAAAAATCTGTTTAAGTTAACATGAATTATACTGATTTACCTACACAAAATAGTTGGTTAACTAAGTTATAGAATAATAATTTTATTGTATTCTTTCACGCTGGAATTATAAATTATAATTGGAGGATAAATTTTGCAAGGTTTGATTAGCAGGGAGTTTCAAGACCTGTAAATGAAAAAATTTGCCCACTAGGTTGTGTATCCTGCGAAACATCTTCTGTATGTGATATTTGTAGTTTTGGCTTCTAAAAGAATATTGAGACTTTACTTTGCGAAAAAATATGTCTCTAAGCTGATTGTAACAGATGCAAATTTAGTGATTGCGACTAATGCTCGAGTGGATTTTAATTTAATGAATTGGGATAATGTGTGAAAATTGAACAATCTAGTGACCCTATAGATAGTTATAATCCTCCGTTCGAGAGAGAAATGGGCCCCTCACTAACCAATGCCCGCTCAGCAACA